AAAAAAAAGAAATCTATGTTTTTCTTTACCTGATGAAAACTACGCCAGTAATGCATACTTCCAGATATAATCCGAAAAGGTTGACCATCTTTTATAAAAGTATCACCATCTATAGTAAAATTACGAATAGTCGATTGTGTTGATATTGTATTCTACAACTTATATAAAAACTAAAAATTCATTTTTATTTTAATATAAATACTTACAGTTTGATAAATATACAATATCAAACATATAAGAAATGTACGTATCATAATATCTCACACGAAAGTAATAATATCAGTAAAATGACACGTTTTATATGTTATTGTAGGGTAAATAAGAAAAAAAAAGAAATTTTCCTCTTCAACGTTATCTATATGATATTAAGAGCGAAGTTGTTTTTTCTTTATCGATGCTTATGCCTTCTGAATAAAACTCACCGACTAAAAGTCTTATATATCTATAGAAATATTGTCACGCAATTAGTGTGACATCAAATAACCAAGAATGCATTTCAGTTTGTTAGATATAATGACTCAGTTCATAAAAGTGCAAGCAATGCGAGAATACAGTAGATCATAAAATCTTCGTTGATCATCTTCACATTTCTGTTGAGTAGTTAGAAACTAGCTCTATCAAGAGAAAATGTATGAACACCCACACCCTTTTCGCGTCCATGTTTATTTAAATTTAGTCGTGTCAATAACAGAGTAGAAATGGAAAAAAAAGGAACAACAAACAAATTTTTTTTCTCACATTTCGATTTACATTAGAGAATAATATATCTGAAGAAAGAGAAGAATAAAAAAATAATTTGTTCTTTTTTTTAAAATTTTCGTTTCTAACATGGTAAGTCGAAACGTACAATGTTTTGAAAGAATGATTAAATTTCTTACCAACACAAAACAATACATTAATGAGAGATGAAAATCGCAACCTATACTACTGATAGAAGCAACAATTTCATCGCGAGAGAAAAAGAAAGAGAAATCGTCAGCTTACAAATTTGCTTCATTTCATACAAACATGCCTACAACAACAACAGCAACACCATCATTGTCAAATGAAACAATTTCTATGATCGTCAAGCAACATCTGCAGTCCGCTACTGAACGTATCGATGAGAATAAAGAGAATATCACTCTCATCTGGTTCGATCCAGATATTGAATCACATATAGATACCGAGACTACAATAGAACGATTACGTGAAATCAACGATTATGTTCTATTTTACACCGAACTCAATCAATGTCGTACGCGTATTCAATCAATTCATAATGAAAAAATCTTTTTAATCATATCGGATACACAAGCTCCTAAACTTTTACCATCAATTATGAATCTTCCTCAAATCGATTCTATCTTCATATTTCGTACGGATAAAACTGAAGATAAAAATTTTACGAATGAATATGTTAAAATAGTTGGTGTTTATGAAGATCTAGATTCTTTATATTTATCAATAGAAGAACAAGTTAAATTTGTTGAAAAACAATTGGAAACATTTCATATATTTGATCAATTTCAAAAATCAATTGGAAATTTACCAAAACAATCAGCTGAATTTTTTTGGTTTCAAATTTTGAAAAATACTATTGATCGTTTTCCACAAAATCTAAATTCTAAGACACAAGCACTTGACATATGTCGTAGTTATTATCGAGGAAATTCTAAACAACTTAAAGAAATCGATGATTTTGAAAATAATTATCAATCAAATTCAGCTATTCAATGGTATGCAAATAAATCTTTTGTTTATAAATTAATTAGTAAAGCTTTAAGAAGTGAAGATATTAATCAATTATATAATTTCCGATTTTTTCTTCGTGATCTTACCAAGAATCTTGCTCGTGAACATCGCAAACTGATTGAATCACCTGAAAAAACATTGACCGTATATCGAGGAATGAGATTATCCTCTGAAGAACTCAATAAATTTAAAGAAAATCAAGGAAAAATTATTTCAACCGATGGTTATTTATGTACTACTCGACGTCGAGATAAAGCACTTGCTTTTGCTACGAAACCTACAGAATATTCTAATATTTTACCTATTATATTCGAAATTCAATGTGATATACAACAATTAGGTAACAAAATTATTTTTGCTGATATTGCTGAGTTCAGTGAACATTCGAGTGAGCGAGAAGTATTATTTGATTTGGATAGTGGTTTTCGATTGGAAAGTGTCGAACAGGATGATGATCAAGTATGGATTATTAAAATGAATGTTTCAACTGATGCACAAACAAGCACGCATGATTATATCGAAGACACAGGTCGTGAAACTGATAGGAAAACTAAAGGTATTATATTTGGTCAATTAATGTGTCAAGCTGATCATTATGATAAATCTCAACGATATTTTGAACAATTATTAGTATATCCAAATGATGAAGATATTGCTTGGCTTGAATTTAATCTTGGCTACGTTGCTCAATATAAAGGTGATTTAAAACGAGCAAGAGATTTATATGATCAAGCTTATGATCGAATGATGCATGCTAATCCACCAAGAATTCAAGATTCTGCTTATGCATTAAGTAGCATTGGTACTGTTCTTGAAACACAAGGAAAATATGATGAATCCCGTCAATTTTATGAACGAGCTTTAAAAATACGTGAAACATTTTATCCTGCCGATCATCCAGATATTGCTTTAAGTCTTAGAAATATTGGTAGTCTTCTTTACAAGCGTCAAAAATATCCTGAAGCTTTAGTTTTTCTTCAACAAGCATTGAAGATACAAGAGAAATATTATCCTGCTATTCATCCAGAGATTGCTTACAGTTTAAATCTTGTTGGTAAAGTTCTTCTTAAACAAGGAAAGAATAGTGACGCATTGAAATTATCTCAACAAGCACTTAAAATACAAGACAAATATTATCCTGATGATCATCGTGATAAAATTGAATGTCTTAATAATATTGCAGCAAGTTATGTGAAACTTAAGGTACCAAGAATGGCACTTGTTAATTACAAACGAGCATTAGCAATTCAAGAGAAAAATCTACCCATTGGACATCCTGATCGAGTAAAGACTGAAGCAAATATTCGCGAACTTTCTTCTCTTAAATAATCATAAATATCATATTGACTAAAAAATATTCGAACAAAAACTTAAAAAAAAACAATTCCTTTTTTTTCATTTAATTATGATGAACTTAATAAAATAGGTATCCATCAAAGATATTATAATCGTTCAGTGGCGGACCTAGGCTTTTAGAAGGGAAGGGCGATTTTCTATATGTGAGTAGGATGGTATCATTTTATTACTCAATAAATATTTGAAAACAATGTAAGTTCTATCCGATAAAGTATAGAGACAGTATACTATTGCTTCACTGCAAATCTGCTTTAAACTAATATTTCAATAATTATCTTGTCATCTGTCAGTGACAACTGGTTTTAATTTATGCTATTTTTTTCTGAAAGTAAATGAAAATACTTTCATAGTCTCCATTACATATATGGTGGTAGTTAGTTTTTATTAAAAACATAGTTGATTCAATAGGAACTTCAATAGCATTAAGGGAAGAATTTTTAGTCTATATACGTATAGGAAATTATTTTGATTAATTAAGATATTTATTTTTTCAGCAGTTGATTATCATGTCGTCCGAAATGGATTATATTGAATCATTGGTATCAGCACAAAGATATTTATATCAATTTGGTGGTGCATTTTTGATCTGTATTGGTAGTATCGGTTGCATATTTAATTTAATTATTTTTTCAAAGAAGAATCTTCGTAAAAATCCATGTTCAGTCTATTTCATTGCATACAATATTGCTAATCTTTTTCAAATATGTATAATTTTTTCACAGCCAATGTTAACATATGGCTATAGCATTAGTACGACAACATGGAGTAATAGTTTTTGTCGTTTCACTTATTTTAGTGGATATGCTGTTGATATTCTCAGTTCATTTTATTTGATTATGGCTTCAATTGATCGAATGTTATTCACTTCACGAAATGTACGCATTCGTCAACATAGCAATCATCGTGTTGCGTATACATGTATCATTGTTGGTACAATATGTTGTGTGTTATTTCACAGTCCTGCATTGATCTTAATCAGCATTGTAGAAATTATACCGAATTATTATGCCTGTTATTTCAATTCTAACGGATATTTAGCATTCACAACCTATTATGAACTAATAAAAGTCATCTTCATACCAACACTTATGATTATCTGTGAAATATGTACTATCAAGAACATTCAATCTACACGCCATGCAAGAGTTATTCCAATATCAAATACAGTCGGTAGTATCTTGAATCCTGGACGTGCTAAAGATCGTCAACTGATCAAAATACTACTTATCAATATTACTGTTTACATTATTTTCAATTTGATGCCTGCAATTGTTTATCCCTATCAGCAAATCGTTCGATATCAAAGCAAAAATTTAGCACAAAGTCAAATGAATACGTTTTTAATGAATGTAAGCAGTTTTGTCAATTATATTCCAATATCTATTAGTTGTTATATTAATTTAATCGTAGCAAAAACATTTAGAAACGAAATCAAAACTATACTTTTGTGCAAATAGATTTATCTATGTTCGTAAACGTGAAATACAGTGATGTTTTTATTTTTTGTTCTTACAGTTTTTTGTAGAAATTTTTCTTTTCATTTATAAATTTTTATCCTTGCATTCAGTCTTATATGATTTAACATTTTAGCTTGTCTGAAACATATCAATCTGTCTTGTTTAGACATGAAATGAAAAAAAAACTAAATTAATTTCGAGCAGATGAGATAGATCATCGGAAAAAAAATAAAGATGAAGATAATCTTTATTTATAAAAATAAAGCTAAGATAAAGAATGAATTTTGATAAATTAAATCATTATCACACCGACAAACTCACATTTTCTAATTGATAAGGAAATTCCTGGAAAATAACTTTCAATTAAAATATAAAACCCTTCTAACATTAATTTGTAATTTACAAAATCATTCTTTATTTTTTATAAAGTAAATGTAAATAAGTATCTCTAGTTAAGATTCAAAGACATATATGTATATTATCAAGATGCAAATTATCAAATACGAGATTCACACAATCTACTATTTTCTTCTCGACAGCAAAATAGAAATGGGAATATAATATCTCATTAATCTTTTTTGTTTTATTAAAATTCAAGCAAAAACACGAAATAAAAAAAAGGATTAACCATGTAACAGTGACATTTTCTTAATATCACGTATAATGTTAATAAAAGTACAATTGAATAATAAAAAGCTATTTTATCATTCCTATACATTTTCTTCGAAAGTCGACAATGATCTCATACTTATGTCTGAAAGAATATTATAAAATTTTGATAGTCATACTTACACCCATTCTACTTATTCCACTACCATTATTAATACAGAGTGATGTACATATACTCTTATATGAATAGATATAAATTGTTTTCATTTTAATCATATCTTTAGGCTTCGAAATGTGGTTATGTTGTTCTTATCTTACTCATCTATTGGATTTCAGAAGCTATTCCCGTACCTGTCACATCATTATTACCTCTTATCTTGTTTCCATTAACAGGCATACTCAAAGCTAGTGATGTCGCTTCAAATTATTTCAAAGTTTTAATTATTATATTTATATATAAAATATTTTATTTTTTTTAAAGGACACTGCATCGTTGTTCTTCGGAAGTGTCACATTAGCTTATGCGATACAACGAGTTAATTTACACCGACGTGCTGCTTTATTTATTTTAACAGTAGTCGGATCATCCACCAAATGGATAATGGCTGGATTGATGACAACGACATGTTTGATATCAATGTGGATCAATAAGTATATTTTAATAAATATGAGAAAATATGCCGATTGAATATTATATTCTTTTCATAGTGCTGCTAGCACGTCAATAATGTTGCCAGTTGCATTGGCAATTGCAGATGAATATGAGCAACATACAAATAATCTAGGCAACGCTAGTGGTTCGTTTTTGAAATATCCTAATACTATGATTTGATTTATTTCATGTTTCAGAACATTCAATTGTTACTATGAATGGTTTGACTCCAGCAAATGTAAAAGATGAATCAACTGAACAAGAACAAAAAGTTTCTTCAAATGATATTATCAAACTTAGAAAAGGTTTCTGAAATAATATTTTAGAATGAAAAATATTCAATAATAAATAATTAGGTCTTATTTTATGTGTTGCATACAGTTCAGTTTACGGTGGACTTTCTACTATCGTCGGATCTGCTGCTACAGTTTTTCTTAAAGGCTATGTTGATGAGTACGTTTCTTATTCAATCATTCTATCAATATTTAGGATATAAATTTAATTAGACAGTATGCCAATACTAATTTTCGTCTAACATTTCTCAATTATCTTCTATTGACTCTCCCAACAGTCGTATTGATGATGATATCATGTTGGTTATGGCTACAGATTCGCTTTAATTATCACGGGTTAATTGCATACTATATTATCTCAATTATCTTCAACATATGTATCTCATTTCATAGTTTGATTCAATCCTGTTGTTCGAAAAATTCAATGTTAAATGCAAGAGATGAACATTTGAAACAGACCTTACGGCGGCAGTACAATGAGCTTGGACCATTGCAGTAAATAGATTTATATTTAAACAACAGTTCAAATTATATTTTTGTTTTTAGATGGAAAGAAGGAGTTGTTGCCATACTGTTTTTATCCGCTATCGTACTGTGGATTACACGTGATCTAGCTGGAAATGGTAGTGGATGGGGGAGTCTCATGTCACGCAAGTATGAATTGAAGCACTAAATCAGTTATTTTTAGTATTTATTCAATTTAAAGTGCTGTATCAAATGGTACTGTAGCTCTATTGATGGCCGTTCTTACTATGATCTTACCAAATGAGAAGCCACGTTTAAGTTAGATTGTTTTGATTTATATTTCGTTATTGATAAAAAAAAACCATTCGTTCATTTTTATAGAAGATTGGAAGTATAATCCAATTATTCCTTGGATAGATTTATCAAAGAATTATCCATGGGGAACGTTGTTAATGCTTGGTGCAGGTCTTTCAATTGCACAAGCATTTCAAGTATATTAGAGAAGTTTGTCTTTTTTAATTATTTTCTTTAATTTTTCTCTCGAGATCTCAAAATTATCAAATATTTTTGGGAATGCACTATATTTTGTACATAATTCTTCACGCTTTGTTATTCTTGTAACAATCATTATCTTAAGTGAAGTGTGTACTCAATTGATCAATAATCTTTCTATTGGTACGTTGCATATATATATATTATTCAAACTTTATTGAAATCGATCTATGTTGTTTTTTTAAAGCCAGTATTTTGTTTCCTGTCATCAGCACTTTGGTATGTTAATTGAAGTCATCATTTCATTTCAGCAAAAGTATAGAATTTTAATTTCAAATTTTCAATGCACGAGAGAATACTAGTGAATTTTCTGTTCGAATCAAAGTTCATTGATGAAAATGATTTTCTACACCAACCATCTTGAGGATGTGGGTGAGGAATGAGTACAGCACTCACGTCGACCTCACCCGTTAGAGTTTCAAACTCTGGTGATAATTCAGATACAACTGAAGCTAGTTTTTTTGTTATGAATTTGGGATAAGATCATATTAGTATGCATAATTATTTATAGGCTATCAATATGGGAATACATCCAGCAAGCTTGTTGTTACCATCAACAATGAGTCTTTCACTCGCATTTCTTTTACCTATATGTAAGTACATACTAAATTTATGGTAACTTGAAAGTTGAACTCAATTATTGAATTACTCCTATATTTAAATCTGATATTCGGTTCGATCGAGTGGGCGTGTTTGCGGATATCAAGGCGAAAATGTAATGAACAAAATGTTTATGCACATTCGGAGTTCTCATTTGAATACTTGAAGTCAACTTTCTAAGTGTGACACTACTGACATGTTTGCTCATTGATTTTTCTTTTTATTTGCATAGCATCTCAACCAAATCTAGTGATCTGTGCCACTGGTTACATTCATTCACGCGACTTGGTATTATCTTTTTTTTGCATTTTTATGTTGTTAACCAATCAGACAAGTGTTGAGAAAAACGACATTTTTATGCGTTAAAAAATTTGTTTTTGTGGGAAAAATCAATTTCACAACGTAAATATTTACAAACTTGATTTCTCCCTCAAAAAGAAACACTTTTTTAACGCATAAAAACGTCGTTTTTTTTCAACGTTTGTCTGATTGGATATTTTTCCTTCAGTTAACAACTGGATTCATGTTGAATATTTTTGGTGGCTTCATTGTTCTCCTTGCTGCAACAACCTGGATGATACCTATTTTTGATCTTAATCAATCTTTTATTGTATTGAATTCAACATCATTGAATCTGACAGTATTCCATTAAAGAAAAGAGAGTTGAATGTTGAAACTCTATATGAGATACAAAACAAATGATCGTATTCTTTTTATATTTTTATTAGAATTTCTATACTCCGACAAGAAATATGAATAATTAGTGAACGTATGACTGTAAATAAGAATTAAACGTAACAATCACATGTAGCTTAACTTTAATGCCACTTGTGCACATTATCGTAGTATTTCATGAATAGGTTAAGAGTAAAATAATATTCTTTTAAAAACTTTTGCTGCAAATATGCTCTCTGCTATATGATAACGATGTTTGTCTCCTCTTTATTCTTTATTCGCATTTGATGTATTGACCTTATCTGATTTTGTACTTTTTTCAAATATCATGTGATACTTTGTCGTTGTTATCCTTTTCTTTCATTGTCTCTGATGGATGTGTATAGAAGTATCATTGTCGGCTCTGAGAAACGGTAATCGATATGTTATTTTGAGCTTCCAAAAATGGAAATCAAAATTAATATCCCTACGTATCACTAATCTTCTTCATCAGTATATTATCAAAATATTTGCACAGCAATAAATCAATTATATGATAAAGAAAAAAAATATATTTTCTAATTCTATAATGTATTACCAAATCACGTGTAAATATCAATTTCAATAAATAGACATAACATGTTTTTGATAAAAAGAAGTGTCTACCATCAACTGAAATATATAATGTAGCTATTGAATATCTGACTTGAACAATAAATGATATTATCGAGCAGATAGATTACATTTTTAATCTTCATATCTTAAAACAACCAATATTCGATTAGGTTCTGGGCATATAGAAGCTCGGAAATAAATTGAATGTGATGTTTATCGGTTGCACATGGTGATGGAAACAGGAAGGTAGACATTATGAATCACACAGGACGACAAATGTTTTTCTTTGTTACGGAAAAAGTTTTAAGTTCCTGTCGTCCAGACGTTTTTTTCAATTCATTTTTCTCCAAGATAACGAGTTATTAGTTTTATGACTCAGAATAAAAAATGAGAAAAATAAAATGTTCGATAAAAGTGCATCGATTCCACGTCCTTTCTGCTATAAATAGTAACTATACTTTACTTGAGACTAAATTATAGAAATGAATCATAGAAAGGAAGTTGGTAATATTTTTTGTCGTCATTATTTTTTCTATGAGAAATATTTATCGGCTTTACTTTTCGGCGATAAAATTTGCACTCCCCTCTATATATAGTTAATACAAGTCAAAATATTTCCATCCAAGAATATAAGAACGTGTTTTAGATATAATAGTCAGTATCAATATTATATCTGTTAACATATATTATCCGTACAATGAAAGAAATAGTATATGATAAATGCTATACAGTTGATTGCAGCAAAGTGGATGGTGGTAGTAACGATCTGTTTGATAAATTACGTAACGAACTGATCACAAATGGCTATGTGAAAGTAAAATGTGAAAACATATCCGATGAAAATTGTGATAAAGCATGTCTTGATATAATTAACAAGGTGGGAGGTATTTGCTGTCCGTATAATGATGATCCAACAGCATTCATTTGGCCTGTCAAAGTACTCGAACTTGATTCACCTAAATCCAAATTACAAGCATCTCAATTGGATCGTGAACTAGTCTTTCATACAGATTGTTCATATGAACATGATGCTCCTCGTTTTGTTGCACTGTATTTTGTTCAATGTGATCGAACAGAAAACGGAGGTAAATTTCAAATGGTTCGTACTAAAGAGATTGTCGATCGATTGTCACCTAAAACACAACGATTATTACGCGAAGAAACCTATAAAATTAATGTTCCTCCAGATTTTCGCAAGGGTGATATTGATCATATATCTGGACATATTCTACTCGAAGGTGATGAACATATTCGCTATCGACGAGATATTGTTAACAAGGATCAATTGAAAGAAGAAACTCCAGAGAAACAAATGGCTATTGCTGAGCTCAATTCAATTATTTTGGCTGAAAATCAATTACCAGTGTTTCGACCTACACTCACAAATAACATAATGGTCATGTTTAACAATGCACGTTTTGTTCATGGTCGAACCAAAATCGAAGATATTGAACGAAATGTGTTGCGTGTTCGATTTAATTTAGATGGTTGATTACTGATTTATTTCTTTATATATTCTAGGATTTTCGATGATTCAATAAAAAAAAGTGATACTTATACTATTGAGTTTGATTGTGTATGAAAAGTATTCAAAAACTCGATTATGAGTGTCTGAGTATTCTATATATTTACCCATACTTATCCTTCTTTTCTTGTCAGTCTTGAGTAAAGAATAAAACGTTGTTTTTTCATGATTAGGCTTTTTTCGAAATTTAATATTCTCTCAGTATTATATGTTTCTGTATTAAATTAGGAATAAGACGTGCTGTCATTTTACATTCTGTGCATCTTACAAAACTATCTATAATTATACACAATTTCTTATTCTTCTTTTTAATACGAAACAAATATAATTAAATTGACACATAAAATGGTACTGTTAAATATATTAATACGTTGTTTCAAAGCCATGGTTGAACTGACTTTGCTAGTTGATCGATTAATATATGTGGAGGGACATTACTTTCACTGTTGTTATCTTTTAGAGAGCCATAATTCTCTGGTATTTTACCGTGTATTAAATGAAAATGAATCGCTGTTTGATCAGTTTCTTGTTGTCCTTCGGAATATGAATTCCAATAATTAGAACCAAGTTGTACTGCATATTCTTTTACATTTTCTTCATCACTTGGTTCTTTGTATTTTGTAATAAATAGTGCCATTGTTTCATTCGAATCTGACTGTAAAGCAAGAATCTTTCTTAGACACGCTAATGCTTTTTCATTACCATTGTACTCGAAAGCATAGAGATGCGGTGCATCGTAATCAAAAGATGCATAAATAATATCGTAAAGACGAGAGCCAATAGTAGTAACTGGATTAGAATTAACGACAGTATCCAAATTCAAAGAAATGATTTCTTCTTCAATAAATGTGAGTTTGTTGGCAATTATTAAGGGCATTTTTCTATTTGTGTTTATTCTTTAATAAAAGATAACGAAAGCACCTTTTTTTTTGTTGAGTTGTTATTGCATAACAAAAACGTAAGTTAAAGATTTGGTGAGAATATGAATGTAAAGAAACAATGACTCAACTTTCATATCACATTCATCCATCTCATTTTCAAAATAAAACGAAGATAGACAGGAGGAGAAATGAAAGTATATAATTATTATTGTTATATTAATTCATTCATCTAAGTTGACGTTATTCTCCATTTAGATGGATTATTTTTGTTATTAATACAAGATGCTTATCATATATGAGTTCTTTTAATGTAATACTTTTCAGGATAGAACTTAATTATAAACGAGAAAGAGTGATCTATTCAATAAATCAATATTGCCAACTCTTCATTCTAGTCTTGCTCTTGGAAAGAATTATTTTTCTGAATTTTATTTCTGGAACATGACAGCTCATTATTAGCGTTGAAATGGCTAAACTAAACTATTACAACTATACACAGATTCGATTCCATGTAGAATGAGATAATTGAATATTTATAATATATTCTTACAAGTGTAATGTCTTTCATTTGTTTCTTTGGATGAGAGAACTTTAAAAATTCGTTTTTTTGATAGTATTTTAAATGGCATAACATCGTTTTGCAAGATTACAATTTAACACAATACAACATATT